TTTAGGATCTTCTTTTTAATAAATTCTTGAAAATGTTAAAAAAGAGAGAGAGAGAGAAAGGGGGTCCGAGCGAGGATGTTTACATCGGGGCCTGTGCTGGCTCTCGACGTTCCTGTATATACATATATATATGTACATTTGTGTTATGCAGGCATATGATATGTTTTCTATTTACTTGTTTCACTATAAAATTTCTATAAATTAGTCAAGTTACAATCTCACTTGTGTTTGAATGGAAGCTCACAGTTTCTCTATATCTGACATTACTATATATAACAAAGTCATACGAGGTTTAGTCAGTCTGGAAAGGATCTCAACCAAGACAGTTTGAAAAGAAAGTATTTGTTATCCAGTAAATGCAAACATCTATTTTATAATCACATACATACATACACTGTATTTGTGTTTTAAGTAATAAAGATTTTTTACTGTATTTTTGTAGAGCTGTATACAGTCTTTTCATTTCCTTCTCAGGAACTCAGTTATTTCATAATAAATATCTTGTTTGAATCTTCCATTATTCTGAGGACCTATCTAATCATTCTAAGGCAAAACTGTTTGACCTGAAAATACACATAGTGAATAGGAAGCACTGCAGTGACCACGGGATAGATTTTTGTGGAATTTCTTATTTCTTCTGAAGCAAGTATTGCCCTTTACACCTGCTCCTGTATTATTTAAGTCTGAAAAGGTTTCATTCTTAAGGATATGGTATTTTCCATTACTCAGATGACTTACAACCAAGAGGAAGTGTTTGTCACTGAAGAAAGATGGTTAATTGAGAGGGTTATTGAGATTAAGTAAAGTTCTTTCCTGGATATAGTACTTTTGCTAATATTATGAAGATCCATGAAGCCAATGACTTACAAAGGAGAGCCATCAATGTCTGATGCATCAAAAATTACCATTAACACTCTTCCCCTGATTTTGGTGCAACAGAAGCATGGTGTGGCATCTGGTTAGTCCAAGAACAAATGAGATAGTCTATATAGGACTCAGAGGCTTTTGAAGTCAGACTAACCCAACCACATCACTGATCATAGTCACCTGAAAATGATCAGGGCAGACTGAACACAATGTTGGTAGACAACGTTTACCAATCAGAGGTGTTTCATTTACAGGTGGGATAGTTGGTACAAAATTGTAAAGATTTTGAACCATGGGTAGTGGTGAGCCCCTCTAAGCCAGGATTAATACTGCTAGATCAGGAAGAAGCTTGGTGTCACACAGAGCTCATGGACGAGAAGCTAATGACAACTTTTTGCTGTGTTGCCCTGACTAGGGACCAAATACTTATCAGAAAGACACAGCCCCTGAACGTCCCTGCAATGCTGTACCTGTGAAATCAAGATCATCACAGTTAAGTAATGGTCAGAATACACACAAGAGAAAAGTTTTGGCCATGACCACAGCTCCCCACGAGTGAGGTGAAAAAGATGTTGCCTCCTCCATTTAAGATACAGTGAAAGAATATTTGGACCATTTACTAAAACACTTCAGGTATCCAACTGCATGAAAGATCTGATTTCCAGTGCAAGTTTGTACAAAAACTGGCTTTGAGTCTGGATGGTATGGCCTCAGGCTACACTAAAGCAGTTGAGTGAAACACCACTCTGGGATTGTGAGACAGTCATTACTGAATGAAACCAAAGGTTTCACCCAGTGAGAAAAAGTGCAATCCAACAAGCTAAGAGGTGGAATACTACAGAGAATTTGGCCAAATAAGCATGACCTGTGCTATTGTACATGAAGAAGTTTAACCTGCAATGGCTTTAGCAGATTTTGAGTATACCGTTATTGAAGGGTTACACAGTGAGAGATAATGAAATAGCATCTTGTTGTGATAGATACTACCACCATTACCAAGGCAGTTTCTGTTGTGATGAGGTATAAAGTGGTAACTTTCAACCAATCACAAAAAGGAAGAAGTCTGTAGTGGGTGTACCTCAGAATGTCCCATCTTAGTGAAACATTTTGTCAAGCTCAAATCCAGCTAAAAATTAACCAATCACCCATTATGCCAGTAGTGCAATACTATTACACTGTATGGGAAGGAAATGGTTCATCAGCTAAAGAAGAGCCAACAACAAGTGATGCACCCTGCTCCAGATAAGTCACATCAACCTAATGTACAGAAGTGATGTTTCGCGGTTTGATACAGATGAAAAGTCTACAACAGTCATAATAAAGTCCATGCATGAAATGTACCGTTTTCCTGTCGAAAATACAAGCACCAACAGCTCATAACAGTTATCTGATGGAAGATGGATGAAGTATTATGATAATATCTATTATAGGTGATATATTATACAGCTTCCCACTGGAATAGTCATAGGTAAGGTGAGCAAAATAGAAGTAACCGAGGCTAGTGGTAATGCTATGTTTCCATCCATCAAACTCTTTCCATAACTGAGTAAGCTGTTGCCAACACATCATGGTGGTTGAGGATTATCCAAACAATCTAGACTCACTGCGGTTTTAGTAATTCAGTAACTTTTTGGTTGACTATTCCATTGCATCTGTGGCACCATACATTCAGTTGGGTCAAACAATAGTAACCCAACACCATATAGATATAAGTGATGCATGTCTGATTAAACTGCATGTTTCTCTGGTGCACTAGGGGTGTAACCAGTATTTAGATACAGCAAATGTTAAAGGATGGTCTTATACAGACTTCAGAGAGTACTTTTTCTTTTCCAGTAGTGATTGTCAGAAAGTATGCCCAGGTTCTGTATTAGTTTAGATGGATAACTGTGGTATGTTTACAGGGTTTATTCCATTTTTCTTTTTGTGCATGTTTTAAGTATTATTTTGTGTTCTTTCTTTTGAAGAGGTTCGTTTTCTTGCATAGTCTGCAGATTTTAGTATGCTTTGAATTCTTTTTGTGTTGCATATATAGTGTAACAAGTTTATTTTGTATTCTGATTTAGTTTTAGAAAGGTCATTTTATTTAAGATTTTTATTTTGTAATATATTACAGTTGTAATTACATTATCCATATTAGAGGGCTCATTTCTTATACACATTGTATTTGAGTGTTTTATTGATTTTTCTTGTGCTTTGTTAATTTGATTTCTCATCATAATTATTTCATCGCTAAAAGGTTAATAAATATTTGCTGTTTTTGATTATTTAAGAGTTTGCACTGTGTTCTACATTAAAATGTAATTTAGAATTTTTCTATTCTTTTGAATTTTAGTTAAATTGTATGTTATTCTTAGAGATTTTCAGGGTTTATTACATTTTTTATTATGATCTTTATTAAAGGGCTTTCATTATGTGTTGCAAATGTATATTTGATGAACAATTTTAATAATCTATTATATAGTAAAGTTGAATATCGTCAGCACCTATGTACAATGGCACTTCAATGTAATTATTATGTGGTATACTATTATTAATTAGCATTTTTCAATTGTGACACTATCACATTCTTTGTTAAATGGTTATGGTGTCTGTGTTGCACATAACTGTTCACAGGGTGAGAGAAAATTACATTACTTTTTGACTAACACAAGTATACAGATGTTATAGGTTTTAAATTTTAACTTTAGATGTTGGCTTGAGAACATGCCAAAAGTAAAGAAGGGATGTATATACACATACTATGCATTTTCTACATTTCTGTTTTAATATAAAAATTTTAGAAATTAGTCAGCTATTTCAGGTATGTGCAATTATCATATAACATATGGTCAAGAAAGACACTAAATTGCTTTCACTCAAGCTACTTTTTTTCTTTGTCATACCCTTGAGATAACACCAGGTTTGCACATGGGCAGTATGGCTGCAATACTTGTGCACAAGTTTAGAAAAGATTAGAAGATATCCTGAGGTTACAACCTCCCTTATGTTTGAATAAGATTGACCATTCACATGGATAGTGCTAGTTGCTTTTGACAAATCAAATGTTACCATTTCACTAATCAATTTATGGTAGTCAGTCTGGAACAGAAACTCAACCAAGACAGTGTGGAGAGAAAGCGACTATCTGTCATATCAAGCTAGTACACACACACACTGTTTTTACTTGCTAGATATGACAGATGGTCACTGTGTTGATGAATAATAAAGAATGTTGATTGTAATTTTATCCAATTTTGTCCAGACCCTTCATTTCTTTTTCATGAATTCTGTTACAGAGAACCAAGAATTACTACCTAAAAATATCACTTAGAATCTCCCCTTGTTATGTAAACCTATTTTGTTGCTCTAAGGTACATCAGATCAAGTTGAAGATAACATATTTTCATGTCATAGTAACATTTAAATTTGTCTTTCATGTGACAAATTTGAAGGATATTGTTTTGTTGAGTGATTTACATTTTATTCATTATTTTTTGTTATGTTTTGCATTTGATCAACACTTATTATACAGCTATGTAATGTTTTGAGTATACATCTTTCCCCTAACCTCATAAAAAATGAGAAAACTGTTTAGTCTAGCTTGTCAATAGTGTCATGATTAGTCTGTACTCAAAACACATGGTGAATGAATAACAAATTATTTTGTAAGATATTATGGATTGAATGTGTTTATATAGTTTTCTGGCATTGTTGTTGTGTGATCTTTTGAAAGAGCAGCTTGTAAACATTACCAACTCTTGGGCTACTCTTTTACCAACAAATAGTGGGATTAAGTGTCACATTATAATGCCTCCACAGCTGAAAGGGCAAAAATGTTTGGTGATGGGGATTCAAACCTGCAATCCACAGGGTGCAAGTTGGATGTCCTAACCACAAGTTGCATGCTCTTTATATAAACAAATACTATACACAATTTTATAGACTTAATTTTATATTTTATTTAAGTACAGTATCATGAGCTAGCTAAGTTAGAAGTATTTAATGACCAACATAACTTCTCTATATGTCTTTAAATACATAGTTTTATATATATCTTTTATTTTGCATTAATATAATTTGCAACTGAAGATCATTAAAAACAATTACTATAAATCTTAAATTTCATTATAAATAGTACTTAATTAACTGTCTTTTACTGTGACATGTGTTAAACAAATTAAACACATAATTTTAATGTTTTCTGGACATTAATATTTCAAATTCCTATGAGTATACAATTAATAGCTTGAAGTATGTTAGGATTCAATATAAAGAAAATGAACTTAATGCTTCATTGTAAAGTATATAAGACATAAATAATAAAAACATATATAACTGATGCAACACCTTATGGGGATCACTGCAAATGCAAGATAAATTTTTACTTTGTTCCATGAAATGATTTATAGCAAATACATTTTATATTAACTAGAATATTAGTTTTTAGAAAAGCAGACAAAAATATCTCCCATTAAAAGTAGTATTTATAAAGGTATACAGTTTTTGAATAAGTTGAACAAGATCCATTTCTCTTCAAGTAGATGTTCATATTATCTTTCTGCAAAGTTCATTTTACTTTTTGAAAAGTTATCAAAAATTAAATATGTTTATTTAAATAACTGTTTAATATAATTATTGATATAACTGTATCATTCCCTGTTCCCTATACATAATGAATATATAATATATATATTTAAAACAACATTCTCAAATAATTTGTTAAATAAAATATAGAATTATCAAACGTATAAAATACCTCCTTCTTCCACAGACTGCTGACAGCGACGAACTGGTCCAGGTAATTCATATAAATAAGGATAGTCATCATACATACAACCACACATCTCAAAAGTTAAGTTGGCAACACACTCCGTGAAACAGGTCTAGAACATAAAAAAAAAGTTATGATAGAAAGGAAATTGCACACATAAAGACATGGCAGACTGCAGAAAGTAAAGTTATGATAAAATGAAGATTTTGAAAATAGGTGATTATAGTAGCTTTCATTTTCTTTCAACATAAAAGTATTTAGGTTAGATTTGAATTTTCTGCAAAGCTACACAATAGCTATCTACACTAGCTGTCCATAATTTAGCAGTGATAGACCAGAGGGAAGGTAGCTAGTTAACACTACCCATTACCAACTCTTGGGCTACTTTTTTACCAATGAATAGTAGGATTGGCCATCACATTATGATGCCCCATGGCTGAAAGGGCGAGCATTTTTGATGATGGGGATTTAAACCTGTGACTCTCAGATTACAAGTCAAGCACCCTAACCACCAGGCCTAAAAGTATTTGACTGAGTTATAATCAGATGTTAACTCTACAATGCATATCCTTAACTTTGTAGTAATAACCAGATGGAATTCAGGCAGTATAAAATACTGAGTGTAAAATAAAACTAATATCTGAATGTTTACAACAGTGGTAATAATATTCAAGTTTATAGTATTTACTGTAAATTTGTGGTGATCAAATATAAATCTTGTCATATTTAGTAGCCTAGACAATCACCTAACTCAAATTACTAATTAGTTAATTTTTTATCACTGCACACATACTAAATAGTTTATATTCTACATTTTGCCTGCTGATCTGCAGCCTATTGCTGATATAACAGTTTATAAAACCTGAATGTCTCCTCCATAATTCTTACTTTTTGTCACTTCATTATATTGGAATATGCATTCACAAAGCATGTTCAATAGGATCTTTTAACTCCCCATAGGGTGTTTTGACATTTACAGTGAACTAACTGCAAATATTATTGCTTCTGAATACTGTTCTGACTTTAGGCTATTTGCATATCCTCTGTATGCTTTCAGAGAGAACTGTGATATAGAAGAATATAGCTGTGTGTTTATAATTTTCTTCATGATTATTTTTTATGTTTATTTATTTTATTTTGTTTTATCAAGTGTTCATGGTATCCATTGTTATGTAGGGTTGTAGTGATGTATTTTTCTTCCTTTTTCTTAGTATCTCTGTGTGAAATTTGTTCTTTCTGGAGTCTATGTAACTTGTGAACTTTGTTTTTACATTGATGGGGCAATTTGATTTATCTTCAAAATATTTAACAGTATTTGTGAGTTCCTGTAAACCCTGTGATATATGAGTTATGTGTCTTTGTAACTATCATGTCAAGGAATGGGAATTTATTATCTTCCTCTGTTTCCTCTGTGTATTGTAAATCGAAGTGTTGTCTAGTTGTGGAGGTTTTGAAATATTAAAAGTTCCACAAAAGTTTGTTTGTGGAATTTTGTGCAAACTCCCCGGGAGCCATCTACTTTTGAAGTGATAAACTAGAGGGAGTGCAGCTAGTCAACACCATTCATTGCCAATAGTGGTATTATCATTTAGGTGGATGTGGAAGGCTATTTTTATTTCTCTATTTCTTATATATGGTTTTTAACTCACTATCTAAGTACTGTTTCAAGTTATCATACAGTCTTTCCTGGCATTATAACCCACACACAGACACACTTAGCTGAAAGGACAAGCATGCTAAATGATAGGTTTCCATCTGAAACCCAGCAGATTGCAAGTCAAGTGCCGTAACCAACAGAGTATGCCAGGTCCTATTCCACAAAGCAAACATTATCTATCATTGTGCAGGTTTGGTGTATTACTTAGTAAATATAATGACTAGATGAGTCTTTATAACAATAATGAATTAATATATTTCTTTAATAATTTTTTTGCCACAGGCTACATTCAATGATAGGCCTAACTTCATAAACATTTCAAAATAAATTTTCAAACTAATGCTATACCTAACTCACAAATTAACTTACTTGTAGTACCTCCTGACAAATCTAATTTATGTATGCCTAACTTACTTGCAATAATCACTCACTAACTGATCGACAGCAAACTGACTCACTGTCTAGTGTAAGTATTGTCAGAACTTATAATATAATTCTTCGATAATTGTCAGAATAAAAAGGCTTTTATTTATACTTATTAATAGTATAAATATATATATACTGTGTTGTTTTTGGGCTTATGATTCTTCTTCAGTAGATGTCTGTGACATGTTAGCGATAAATTCAATGAAGAATAAACAGCATGTACTTCATTTGTTTTCAAAATTATATATATATATTCAGAAAAAGTTAAACGTACGTACAACAAATTCTTCACACTATAGAGACTACAGGCATATCATAAAAGTCCACTTAGGCCTATTAAATACTTCAGAATTTCAGTTTACAAGCCAAACTATCTTCTCTATTACTATCACACTAGTATTCTGTGTGTGATTCACTTACAAGTTACAGTTGTGGCACAAGTTAACATAATCGTTTGGTCTTCTTTCTTCTAAAGATCCTCTGTCCCTTTTGTCAAAGTGCACTCAGGCTGATTCAATTATTTTCAATCCATGCTTTGATAGCATCAATTATTTTTCTTAACTTCTTTTTTACTATCACTTCTACAGAAGTTAACTTTTCCTTTTGTAACATTACTTTCTTCTGCTATTATCGGTATGCTGTTTCCGCTTGTTTCACTCTGTTTATATCTTTATCACTTCTATATTCTCGACGTTAATGTATTGCATGGGACATTCGATAGTCTCAACATCAATGAATTATTAACAAAACTTCCTACAATGTCTGTCTTTAACTCTTATTATAACGAAACTAAACAATAATTGTTTGTTTTGAATTTTGCGCAAAGCTACACGAGGGCTATCTGCACTAGCCATCCCTAATTTGGCAGTGTAAGAGTAGAGGGAAGGCAGCTAGTCATCACCACATACAGCCAACTTTTGTGCTACTCTTTTACCAACGAATAGTGGGATTGACCATCACATTATAATGTCCCCATGGCTGAAAGGGCAAGCATGTTTGGTGGGACGAGGATTCGAACCTGCAACCATCAGATTGTGAGTCAAGTGCCCTAACCACCTGGCCATGCAGGGCCCTAAACAATAATAAAATATTCACTCACAAAAAGAAATTAATTAATTATATCTAAACTGTCTTTTATATCATGACAATGATTAACTCACTCAGTCTGATATTTACAGGCAGTCTAGTTTTCTTTATGTTTCATTACTCTTCTGGATTCTAGAGAGGCCTAAACATTCATGAAAGTGTCTAGATGTTGTATAATTTTAATGCTGGTAAGACTTTCATTATAGTGGCATTATAAGGCCTTACAATTCCTGCTACAAGAGTTAAGCAAGGGTCAGGAATGGCTATATGTTTTACTGAAAAGGATCAATGATTTGGTTTACAGAATCCAGAAACATAGGCAATCCAAGCCAAAGATCATAACACCATGATTGTCTTTTGAAGTATGTTGGTGGGAAAATGGCCAATTGATAGCTTCTGACAGGGATCTGCAAGCTGAAAAATCAATCTATTGTATAACTGCAGTGTCCTGTCAAGACCATTTCCAGAGGATCACCAAGGATAGAGCTGCCAATGGGTACACTCACTCAATCATCTACCATGAGTTCTCTTTCAATGACAATAACAGAATAAAAACTCATTGCATCTGAATACATAACCTTCCGAAGAGAAAACCAAAAGTTAAATTTTTTTCTTAATTGAAAATTTATTTCCAATAGACACCTCCATACACAGAGCTATTTTCCTCTTGAGGTCGCAGTTTGATAATGTTGATGCATCATCTTTTTTCATATTTAACAGTGAGAATAGTAGGACTAGGGGACACAAATATATATTTTGGCAAGATAGGAGTCATCTTCAACTAAGACAGTTTCATTTTTCTAACAGGGTGGTTGGCCTTTTGAATGGGTTGCCTTCAGATGTTGTAGAGGCAGTAAATTGAAGAGAGTTTAATAAAAAGCTTTATAAGCTGGTTTTGACCTGTAGAAACTGATAGTTGAGGAGGTGTTCACACACGGTATGGTCTTAATGAGCCCCAACCTCATTATGCTCATTGGCTGTCTGAAGGCTTTGGCATGCGAATAATTGTCCTAGGAACACATTTCAGGCCTTTTGCCTCTTTTATTCCTATACATAAGCAAAGAGTATACCCTGGATGTGGTCTCCAACAGGTGTGCCCCTATGTAGCCCCTGCCATTGGGCATTACACTACATGGACTTCCTTTAGATGCTTTCAAAAGGAAGCTTATTTAGGTAATTGTTGAACTGGTCCCTCTTCCATTTCATCATGGGATTTTAACTCTCTGAGTATGAAGGTGAGTGACCATTTCAAAAGTTAACATTTTTCTTAATTGAAAATGTATTTCCAATAGATACTCACCTCTGTTCATGTTCCCACCAATCTTCTCCACTTCTTGGTGCACCTTTCTTTATTGCCTCGTCAAAGAATGGGGATTTTTGCAAGGAGTTATTTTGCACTCCTATTGATGGAGGGCTTAGTTGCATGAAAAATTATAATGCAGTAACACAGATTTTTATGTTTTTACATGAATTTTAGGTGGGAGTTTTTATAAGGTTGTTGGCATGCAAGTCATTCAGGCAAGTGTCTTTTTACAATCTTAAACACCCGAATCAGATCCCCCTAACTCTCCTTTTTTCAAGAGAAAACAATTTGAGAAATTTCAGCTTCTCCTCATATGACAACCCCCCCTCCCAGGCACCATTCTAGTAACCCTTCTCTGAACCCTTTCCAACAATTCAAAGTCTTTCCTAAAGTAAGGAGCCCAAGACTGAACATAATATTCTAAATGTGGCCTAACCAGTGACCTGTGCAATGAAATTATAGTCTCTTTAAACTTGTATTCAATATTTCTGTAGATACAACCTAAAATCCTATTTGCCTTACTACTAGCAACAGCACACTGCTTGGATGGCTTTAGAGACAGATCCACTATTACACCAAGATCCCTTTCCTTCATAACACTATTAAGGTTATTCCCATCCAAATTATACATATAATTAAA